CAATTTATCTTAGTACACTTACATGGTTTTTTTCAATTTTAATTTTAATATTTTGTTATCATGCATTGAATTATTAGGTGTGCAGTTGGAGCTTATGGAAAAGTTGAATTCAGAAACTGATGGCGAAACTGAATTTGTCGCACCCTGGAGGAACTGCTTTTGTTCGTCCTAAAGTTGACATCAAAGAAAAAGCGAGAATCGTTTCATTTTTCAAGTTACAAAATGTAGATTTAACTCAATCGCTGATGCCTGTGAGATATAAGCTTCAACCGGTGCGTGATGTAGTTAAAAGACTGGGTGAATCTTTTTCGTAGATATTTTTCTGCGAATGCGCTATGATTTTATGCTTCATTTAAAATATGCGGTGATGACAATACTGCAGAAGACCGTGGACAATTTTATTTTAACCTCGCTTATTGGTTGCTGTTTTCGTCCACTTGCTAAAACAGTGTATAATACGTACTTGTCGGCGGTTTCCCGTATAGTTAATGGAGGTTTTAAGGAAAGAAGGTAGACAGCTTACAGTGTAGTTTTGGCTGACACCTATCACTATCTTTCCTATCAGTAAATTAAGTTTGAAATATAAGATAACTTTTGAAAAATAATATCCACATGGATTTTCTTTAAAATTTTATCATTTTCGCGGTTAATAGTAGCTTCAATAAATAGGCGCCGAATTCAACAGGGCCCTTGCATAACCCGGTCATATGTAAATAAATAGTTGCCGAAAATGGGAAAAGCGTGATGAAATTAGTAAGGTTGCTAATTTTGAGACTGCTTACATTTCCTTGAGATATTTTATGGTGGTTTGAAAGTTTGGAAAATGAAGAAGATTTATATGGAAAAAAGTTGCTAGATGGCAAGGCTTGCCATCCAGCAACTTTTTTTCCGTACAAATCATCTACATCTTTCAAACGTTCAAACCACCATAAAATATCACATTTATGAATCATCAGTGGTCTCCGAATTGGCAACCTCACTAATTTCATCACGCTCTTTCCTTTTGTGGCAACCATTTCGTACTACCACCTATTTTATGATTGACAAGGGCATGTGATAAAGGGCCTATTTGTGAGAGATCAAGAAGGCTGAGGATTCAATACTGACGATGACGTAGCTTTTGGTTTGTTCGCCACACCATTCCCGACAATGTGATGTTACTCTGGATAATTGTTCCTTTGAAATTGAATCATATTCACATGTATATGAAATAATAATGTTTGGATAGATAAAGAAACAGTTTTCTAGAGAACATCACATGGTATTTGATGGAGCAAGCTAAGAAACCTGTTAATAGAGAGACTTAATAGGTATATTGTACGGTTGTGAATTTCCGCGCACGAGTTAAACCCAATCAGAGACATATAATACGCGTGATCTTTGTAGAACTACGTCATCGGTATAAAAATTCTTCAGATCAAATCTCAGCCTTCTTTCTCTTGAAAGATAATATTGAGCGCGAAGAGAGAAGTCAGTTTACTGATGCTAGTTTGGTAGCTGAGGGCCACGCAGAAGCCAAGTGACAATTTCATGGATGCAGCTGATCTTACTCAGGGAGAGTTTGGCTGTGTGCATGAAATTGCCACTCGGCGTCGTTATAGTTCCAGAGTAGCTCAGTAGTTTCCACAATGTCATGAACAGCGATGAAGAAAATACGCGGATTGTTAGTGTTCTTATTTGCCACGAAGGGCTTAACGTTGGCGTTATCCCTCGAATGATTTAGCGTGGCACCCCAGGTCAAGGCACCTCTTGGATTGCCTTCATAAGGATCAATCCTAAAAAAAAGAAAGGATTACAATTACAGTGGAATTTCTGTGCAGCTTGTAATAGAATTGCGTGTCCAGTTGCAAGAGTAACTGAACGGTTCAACAACAGCTTATCTGAAATTCAACAATCACGAGATACTTGGAAGGTATACAACAGCATGCATGTGAAAACATAACATGTTAAGTAAAACGACAGCTTTCTTAACTAGTTATTTGACTGTTATCTGCAACTTGTAATTGTGGAGGGGTATGTAGGTACAAATTTTGTCACTTTTTTGTTCTTAAAAATTCAGAATCTGTTTGGCTAGGCTTGGAAATATTTATTTTTATCAATTGACCGTTTTAATTTCCTTTTTCTTTACAAATAGTGTTTTGGTGAAATTATCTGCTAAATTATATTTCGAGACAGCATACAAAGAGATTTTACTAAATTATCGGCAAGTTGCTACTTTATTCCGTATCGGGTTTTAAATGTTATTTAGGAATACAATTTCTCACATTTGCCAATTACACTCAGTGATTTAAATACTCACGCAATCTGACGTCCTGCACTGTCTAACACCATTAATGTGCAAGGTCTGCCCTCTTTTTCATACGAACTCTCCCGAGTTTTAGCCTCGTGAAGAGAAATTATTTCGCCCTCATATTCGCATATCACCTCGCCCTTTTCAATATCTCTCGCGGCGAACGCGCAATTCCCCGCGCCACGCGGATCACTTCTCACAATATGCACCTATGTAAAAATATAAATAACATTAAACTGTTTTCTGAGTAAATTTATAATATATTAGTGAAATATATATCAACTGTTGAGAATAGATATAAAAATTACTCACTTCAATTGGTGGATATGGTTTCGGATTGAGAGACATATAATACTGGATTCTTTCAAGCATTATACGTCCCCCGAATTCTACTGGTGGCTGTCTTCGGGGTCGGTGCAGCTTTAACCCTGTGTACCCACGGGTTTTGCCCGCTCTTGTCGATGGCTTTACCACCCAGTCCCTCTGCTTTGCATACTCTGCAACTGCTTTCTTAAATTGCTGTTGAAAGAGAAGTATGACTTAACTGAGTCATTCAAGCATGCAGAGGTGAGACGATTTTTTAATTCAAGCTAGTCAAATGCATGTGCGTTCAACACGACATCAAAAAATTGTACTCCATTGTCAACAGGGCAAACATTTCTGAATATTTCCCTCCTTTTATTAACTGTATGCCGACATTACGATGTGGTTTTCACCATTAAAGGACTTTGAAGAGCTTTTATTAAATACCATCTATAGTAAAAGTTTACGCAACTTATTAAACAGTTAAATTACATAAGTAGATGCATTTACAAACACAGTGCGCAGTAAAAATGTACAAGATAAAGTTTGCGTCTTTGTAAAGACGCAGTTACGGAACAGTCAGTAAGTTACTGTTTTGTGTTATCGGCAGCTGTAATATTTAATTGTGTTTAATGAGTTATTGCAATATTTTGGGGGTCGTGTTAGCGATTTTTAACACCGAAAACTGGGCTTTTAATCACGCCAAAATTTTACAAAATCGCTAAGGCCCAGTTCAGACGCCGTACTTCACATGGGCCGAATTGAATTCGATGAATTAAGTTCATGTGAAATACGGCGTCTGCAGAATCAATTCGGAACGCTGGCTGATTCTTCCCGCCTGGCTCAGCCGGGAATAACGGCTGTGGACCGGCTTTGATTCAGACGCCGAACTACACACGAGCCGAAACAAAATATGCATGAATTATTATAATGTATATATCAATATAACATCAATTTTCCCCTATTAAGGTCATTCCATCGAAATAGAACTTACAATAGATTTTCATTCAAACTTTGCCTATTTGTTGTTTATCTTAAGGGAACTTAAATTTTGAAATAAAAAGGGGGGGTCCCGGTATTCGTTTAGGAACAGGAGGACCTTGTATATACCCCTTAATTCCTTACAATATCAGCTTCCAGAAACGTTTTTATTAGCTATTAAAGTTCATGTTTCCGGTGATTATTTATTCTTCTGCAATAGAAATTAGTCTATATTTATTTAATAGAAAGAAGGTGATTGCTAGAGAAAACGACGATTCATCTCTCTGGCGAGCTCAGCCGTAAAGGAAAAGCCGCCATTTTCTTAATGTGCGCGCGCTAATTACGTGTGAAATCATGCGCAGTAAGGATGTGCAATGCAATACTAAGGAATCACCTTAAATTAAGTTCGGCTGAATTAAGCTCGGCGTCTGAATCAATTCACTCGGTCTAAATTGATTCGGTTTATCAGTGTGAAGTGCGCCGTCTGAACTGGGCCTAAGTTGCTAGCCTAAAGGCCACTTTAAAAATCGCTCAGTTTTATATTTACAAAAAGTATCCTCAAGATATTTTTAAACTTGCCTTATAAAATGCTCTTTTCTTCATTAGGTATTTTGTTTGCCCTCGCAGACTGTCATCTTCAGTCCACAATGCCACTGCCGCGCAGTACGCTTCGAATACCTCCTCTGTTGCAACAAAGTGATCCTCGTTTTCCTTCTCGAGAGCAAGACTAACAAATTTTTTCAGAAACTGGCATTTTGCAGCCCGCTTCTGTCCTAGCATAACTTGCCTTACATTGGCAAATCTCGACATTTTACTGAGCAGTGACACATTCGATGCGAACTCAAAATGACCGCTGGTTAAGTTTCCTTGGTTTTAAAATATCGCAGAAAGCATGGGAATTTGGCACGAGTGACTTGGCCGAAAATCTTCCCACGGTTACAAATATCGAACACACATTGCAGTTTCAAGAGTTCGCATCGATATTTTAAGATGTTAATATTAACTCTGCGGGGCAAAATCTGAGCAAACGGATTATTCTAAAAAGTAGAGTAAAGCTATCGATGAAAAACTCTCATAAGAAGATATGTTTCCAATCCAGTGGATACTTTCTGATCACGTGATAATTTTGATTGAGAGCAGATTGAATAAATTTGCATTTTTGTGGGTTTCCTTGGTTTTGATACATGGCGGAGAGCATGGGAATTTGGCGCGAGGGGCTTAGCCGAAAATATTCCTTCTATGGTAACAGAAGAAAATATCGAACATGTAAAACCTGTCACAAAAAGATGAATGTATTGAAACCATTTCATTCCACTTAATACTTTGTGATCACATGATGATTTGTTTGAGATCACAGATTGAATGTACCTGCATTTTTATGCTCCTTCTTTGATGCACTGAGAGACGAATAGCTCTGATCCCTAGAGACACATGCAGTGGCCTAATGGTTAGCGCGTTGGACTCTGGATTGAACGGTCCGGGTTCGAGCGCTGGCTGGGTCATTGTGTTGTGTTTTTGGGCAACACACTTTACTCGCACAGTGCCTTTCTGCGACCCCGGAGTATAAATGCGTACCGCCGGACGAATTGTCAGGGAAACCTGACAAAAATGCTGGGAGGTTACCTGCGATGGACTAGCATCCCATCCAGGGTACAGTTAATCGCTTCATGCTATGGAAACCGGAGTTAGGCAGCAGGCTGATAAGCCACTTGGCTTGTAGACGGAATCCAACCTTCACTAGGATTGGAATAGACTTAAACCTTCAAAGTATGTTAACATGGAAGGAGGGTGAGCCAGTTTCCCGCCTAAAATGGCTAGGACATAGCACGCCTTTACGTGCAAAATTTCTCACTCTTAGTATAGCCAAGTTATGACAGCGCCATTTAAGGGTATCGCGGCCTGGAAATAGCAACTACAATCATGGACAATAGTCTTGGGACATTTTGTATTTTTAAGGTATTTCCTGCCTGTTAACAAACTACCCATATTTTTCACCCAGTACCCCCCCCCCCCCCCCAGACAATGTTGAATCCGCATGGCAAGAGTGCTGCTTACATTACAACATTGTATGGGGGGGAGGGGGGTCTTAGCGTTAAAAAGATTATTTTCGTGGTGGACAACTGCAATTGCCATGTTACGATAGTAATTGTGCCGAGTGTCCCAAGGACTTTTGACCATGATTGTAGCTCAAAATAGATAAAACAAAATGCGACTTTTTACTCCATATAATAAAAGCCATCTTTCCCCTAGGCAATCATATTTCAATGCCCAAGTTCTTAGAAATTTACCGGACACATTTTTACGAGTTTCAACAGTCTTCAGTCATCCTTCTATGTAAACAGACCCTTCAGACATTTTTATACTAGATGCCTCATACAAGACAGCAGCAGCAAAGAAGGCAAGTAATTCTTACGATGGGCACCCCTTCATTTAAGAAGAGTCGGTAAAAAAGAAAAGCAAGTTTCGCTCATCTATTGAATGGTTAGTTTGGACATTTGATTCAACATTCTTCTTACACTGAATTTGTCATTGACGACGTTCTTCACTGACATTTTCTGAATACAGCCTTATACCTTTCCGAATCAACAGCTGCGTAAAATTTATATTCATTCAATTCCTCATAAAAGAAAATATGACAGACAATTAGAGCTAATTAGTTCAACCCCGTTACACGTACCATAATATTTACCGAGGATTTATCCGATTTTTAATGACATGAAGTTTGGCCAGATATAAAGAACGTGCATAAAATAATTTATCGGCGATAGTTTTCCTCTAGCAATTGTTGGAACTTTCAAGAAAAACAACGGAATAACCACGTTGCCGGTATGAAAACTAGCCTGAAAACAGTGATTGCCAGGGCAATTATCTGTCATGTCTTCACCCGTACCCGTGGTGACACCACTCCAGGAAACCCTGTCACGAGTACTCCAAGTTAATGCCTGGCCTGGACTCCCAAGTACTATTAAGGCACAAGGCACGGACAAGTTAAGAAAATACTTCAATGCCTGTGAAAGTGAGGGCACTTGAATTTAAAATAAAAGTGTTAAAGCGCATTATTAAAATAGTCAAAGGCGCGTGTCTTCTTTCTAGAAATCATTGGAACCTTCAAGAACAAGAAATCTATTATGAACGGTAAATATAATTAACTCACTATGACGTCTGTAGCAATATCCGTTCTTAGATCCTGTCACGACACTTGAAGCTTCTCGCGTTTTCGGTGAGCCTTTGTGGGCTTTATGTAAATAAAATGAAACGAGTAGCATAATCCAGTGAGATATTGAAGTACATGCAGATATGTTCACAAAGACTATTACCTTACAGTTGGATTTTGACAAATCTCTTAAGACTCCCAAAGTCAGTGCTCAAGACTCGTATTTCGTTCCGAAGCTTAGAACACACCAGCTGGGCATGTACTGCGCCAACGACAGAAATATTCATTGTTTTCTCTACGACGAGACTATCGGTACCACAGGACCAAATGAGGTAATATCTCTTTTGGATTATTTACTTATTCAACTCGAAAATAAGCTTGGAAAACATGACCATATTATCATATGGTGTGACAATGCACCTGGCCAGTTCAAGGAATGCTATCTCTTTTTACATGGATCTCTTAATAAAAAGGGAACAGTTCCTAAGAGCTGACTTAAAATTCTTGCTTGAGGGTCACACGTACTCGGTTTGTGACAGGAGATTTGCAAGCATACAAAAGCTTTTCGGCAGCCACGAAGTCGTTGACATTCCAAGAACATGGCCAACAATTTTAGAACAAGGCAAATTATCAAACGTCACAGTTCACAGGGTTACACTAGATATGATAAAAGACTACAAAACGTTTCTTCGACGACAGTACGTCAGCCGCAACGAGGATTTAGAGAAGGACAGATTTGAAGTAAGGAATATTTGTTGGATTAATTATGGAGTTGGAGAGAGGATGAATGAAACTGGACAACTTCAATTGGTGCATCATCCCGATTGCGCCTTCGTAAGATTTGAAATGAATCCTAAACAACCACCACTAAAAGTTTCCTTTATAAAGCAGAGACAATGTACTGAACTAAGGCCAGAATTTCTTCACACTTTGCAAAGAAGGCCGGTGAGGGAAGATGTCAAACGATCTTGCATTAAGTTAGCCAAGAAATACCTATCTGAATATGCTGTTCAATTTTATGAATCACTGTCATCAATTAATGAAGAAGAAAATGACAGCTGAACGTCAGTGATATATGAGTTCATTAGTAGTCGTACAAGCAATACGTAGAACTCAGAGATAAGCAATGGTCACTATTCATCCCAAATGAAGAAACAAGGGCGAACATTTTAAAGTGATTTCTTTCTTCGTGATTATAATTTGTAGCAATTTTATACTGCATGCGTACAATTTTAAGGATTACTTAATTTAATACTTTTGTGAGAGTCGTAATCTGGGCCCCTGCTAGGCCAGTATAGTGCGAGAGATACTGGGTACCGCTCCCTGGGAGTTGAGTTGAAACGCCTTCGAGTTGTGTCAGTCAGGACCGTAATAAATACCTCTAAGTGCACACTTTGTTTGATTTAATTAATTTCATTGTTAGTACTGCCCTCAATATAAAATACGACTAGTTTAACTTTGCTCTTTTCTCATTTTCATCTTATAGGCCTCAAGAAAGGGGGGGGGGGGCTTATTAGAGAGGGGGGCTAAATAGAGCTTTTAAGGTATTAAAGCACCGCTAGATTTCAATCCTTGAACTCTCCACTCAAGGAATTCTCAGCTCTTTTTGAAAAATATATGGACCACTTAAAATGACATTTAATTTGTAATCCTTAGGCCCAGTGCAGATGCCGTAGTCCACATGAGCCAAATCGAATTCAAATTTAAGCCGACCGAAATTAATTTAGACCGGCTGAATTGATTCAGACGCCGAGCTTAATTCAGCAGAGTAGAATAGGGGAAAATTGCTGTTATATTTTGAAAAATACATTATAATTCATGCATTTGTTTCGACTCATGTGAAGTTCGGCGTCTGAACTGGGCCTTATAAATATCAAGCAGAAGCAACTAATAAACAAATTGATAATCGACCTATTGCATTCTTTCCAATGCCAAAAGACTCCTCCCCACGGATTTTCTTACTGAACGGAATTGTCATAATTTGGAATAAAAACATGACGACTCACTATTACACGACTGCACCCGAGTGAGCTTTACGTTTCTCAGTATCACACCTAAATGTTATGCATGGAAGATTGCTGTTTGTTCAGCTTATAGTTTACATTCGTTAGCTACTACAAATTATTATAAACACAAGGTTTCTTTAGGCTTCTTCGTTGTTTTTCATTGTTTCTGTTTTCCTCGACCATTCGGAACGCAACAGACCTATATTAAATTGTTGTTCGAATTCAGATCTGGGAATATATAATATATATAGAAAAGTTGCTTTCGCACGTCTAGCTCACTCATACCAAAAGGATATTCAATATATACGTATATACATCCCTAAAGACCGTCGCCTATAGCCATTTTCAATACAAATTTTGAGGTTTAAAGCCTGTGATCATAGGAACATAGGATGGTAAACACTGTCATATACCAGGCATACTTATATACCGCTGCACAAACCCGTAGGCTTTTGCACATTATGCTAGCATTAGGCTCTTCGAGCATTATAAAGGCCCGATTAAACGTTCACAACATTCTCACAACATTTGTTGTGACATGTTGTGACCATGCCCGGACAAACGGCCACATTTCAAGAACAAAAGAAATGTTCTCGAAGCAACATGTCACAACACCTCACAACAATTTGAGGGGTGGTCAAACGTTTGTGACCAAGCAAGATTCTCCGCACATTCACGTATTGTGGCATGATGCTTGGATGTCTTGGATTGAACGACAAGTCAACTCATTATTCAATGACATGCATACATCAGTACGGCCGAGTATACGGCGCCACAGAAAGCATGGGAATTTACCGCTACTCGCGGAGAATATGTCTACCAGGGTCGGATGGTATGACATTCAATGGTTTCGGAGAATGGTTCCCACGCTTATGATTCGCTTCTTTTGAAAACAAAAAAATCAAAAAACTATGTACATATCATTTAGTATCATTTCCTTCACGTCTCCTTTTTATCTCGGGATTACGTCACATAACGTAATCTCGAGATATACATATGGCTTAGCGTCACGTGACTTGTCAACAATTTTCTGTGAACAAAATTTGTCCACACTGATGGTCATGTAAGCCACAATGAATTGAACACTGGTTAGAATTTCAGAATTCTTCCTCTTGTGATCTTCTAGTGAGGTACAATTCATTGTGGCTTACATGGCGTAAAAAGTGTGACAGATTTTGCGAAGCAACATGGATGGCCAGCAGAGGCCATGGTAAAAAAATTGTTTGCTTGTAAAATTGGGGCAAAGGACTTCTCAAAGAACGAAAATTTCAACCTTGTCACTCTGAGGTATTCAGGAGAGAGGATATGACACAAACTAAATAATTTGTGGAAGGATTACCTA